CAGGCAGCCCTGGCTGCTCCTGTTGCTGCAGGGTGGGCCCCTGCAGAAGGCCTCAAGGGATCAGCCCTTTGTGTCCGCGTGTCTCCTCCCTAGACCTTGGCCTTGGGGAAGAGACCTTGGCTGAAGGAGTAGGAATTTACCATTCTATTTTTTTTTAGGCCTAAACCACAGACTTCCTTGGGAACAAAGGAGTTATTTTTCCTACACATTTGGGGCCAGCTGCTCATGCAGTAAATGCAGGTGTGCACCTGATCCAAGCATGGGTCACGGAGTCGGTCCCTAGGCCAACTTTGACGAAGGCACCCTTCTAGGCCTTCCAGCCACACACACACACACACACACACACCAACAGCTTTTGCTACTGTTGCTCCAGGCCCATGTCAAGCTCTGGACCAGGTCTCCTTTAGTCCTCACAACAACCCTGGGTGGGAGGTGCTGTCATCTCTGTTCTTCAGCCGTGACGGACTTCCCCCAGCCCGTGCTGTGTCCCCGGGAGTCTGCGCGCTAGGCCTCTGAGGCTGCTGTCCATTTCACCCAGAAAACCCCCTGTGCCGGGACTCAGAGAGCCTTCCCTGAGTTTGTTTCACTTAAGGAAAATGACCCGAGGGTGAGATGGAAAGGGAATTGGCTGTTGCCAGGCAGAACCCTGCGTGTCAGGGGCCAGCAGCCAAGTGAGTGATCCAGGAAGTCATCCAATTGCAAACCAGAAATTGTTCTTAACCCTTCACTGTCTGGTGACACCCGAGGTGTCTGGGTGAGCCTGCCAACTACTGAGGCCCTGGGGCTCTCCTCCGTGCTTGGCCGGGCTCAGGGTCCTTGGGGGGAGTCATCTGACATCCCAGGGCAGAGCCTGCCACTGTGTCCAAGTGAGGATGGCCCAAGGACTGAGGGCCACTTCTTCCTGGAGAGGGGTGCCCCCTCAGTACGGCAGAGACAGACCCCTGAAGTCTGTGTGCTTGGTGTGGTGTGTGGGCCCCTCCTGCCCCCTGCCCCCCCAGGGGGGCACAGCTCAGCCACTCCTTCCTGTCTGCACGTTGCCGTCTGACAGCAGAGCTGCTGGCGGCCTCTGTCGGGCGAGAGTTAACAGGGGATTTGTTTATTGAATCACGAAGTAGCTGTCACATGATTTTAATCAAAACACCATTTCCCTGACAACAGTGATGTCAGTCTTGTTATTGCAGGAAGGAGCAGCTGTGAGGGACATGCAGTCTCCGCACAGTCCAGGTTGGGAGACCCAGGTCAGGCGCAGCACCCATAAATAATGGCTGCAGACGCTGCTGTGCGCCCAGCCACCGGCTCTTCCTTTTCTTCTCTCTCTGGACAGTTTGCCCGCAACAGACTTCAGCCAGAACCCAGCCCCTGCGCCCCGAGTCTCAGCAAAGACCTCCCCTCTGCAACTCTTGCTCCTCCTGGTCTTTGTTGTTTCTCTTATTTCCCCCAAACTCTGTCACTCGGGCCCAGGGGTTCCTGCGGTCTCGTCTCTGGGACCTAAACCTGCACTTGCTGGTGAACTAGACCGTGCACTGGCTTGAGGCGGGTACTGTCGTGCAACTGCAGGATCTGGCTCCAGTTGGGGAGGCCTAGGTGCCGCCCATAGGGATCTAGATCCAGGGCCAAGCTCGGGCTTCGCTGTGGAGGCCTGAAGTGGAGCTCTTAGGGGCCCAACCTCTTGGCCAGAGGATTCATTCTCCTGAGTCCAGAGAGACTACAGGACGCCTGAGTCCAGTTTGAAAACTGACAACAAAAGCCAAAGCCCAGGGACATTGAACCCGTCTGCAGTGGGCCTCCAGCTAAGGGAACCGGATCCCAGAGCCCACCGAGAGGTCACAGTGTAGGCAGGTCCCAGGGCCAGCTGGAGTGTGTCCTCAGTGGGGGCTTAGCAGCTGTCTGCGGAGATTCCCCTGGGCCTTCCAGCCCTTCTCCACCCAGGCGCCGAGGGGTTAGGGATATAGGTCTATGTGGGGCGCAGATTCTCGGAGGAGTTCCTGGGAAATGTGGGGCAAAATTCTGGAACTTGACCATGCAGCAGGTCTCAGAATAGGGCGGCCAGCTTTAAATCTGACAGGTCTCATACGCAGCACGTAGACATTTCCATGTAGAGTGAGATTCTGGGACAAGCCATCAGCAGGCTGGCGAGGCTTCTGGGTGCTTTCCCATTAGGGAACAGGGCCGGGCCAGGCTGTGCTTGAACCTCAGTAAACCCGGCAGCGAAGTCAGCCGGCCTGTGTTCCCAGGTTACCACTGGAGATAATGAGCCTTTACAACGATTTCTCCAGGTTGGTGGCAGGGCCGGGAGCCTCGCCAGGGGCTGAGGACTCGGTCAGAGGTTCTTGGATGCCTCCTGGGCTCTCCCGGCAGAGAAGGGGGAGGCAGTGATCTGCCGGGAGTACCTCTCCGGCAGGGTGGCCACTCCTGGGGATGGGGTGGGCCACCGGGCCCTTGCCTCCACAGCCTTCCTCCTCGTCTGGCTCTGTCATTCCCAGGCCCCTCCAACTGCCCACCTCCCTTGTGGCCCTCACTTAGCTGCCTCAGGGACTGTGCTACACATCTGAGCTCCTCTAGTGACCAGAGGGCCAGGGCAGGGTCCCTGCACAGAAGGCTGTGAGGCTGTGCTTCATGTGGCTTGCTTTGAGGCAGGCCTTGGTAGCTCTCCTGTTGGACGTGTCCCATCACCAAGTGTGGGGTGGTCACCGTGGTGCTGAGGGCACCCTCAAAGGCCTGGGCTCTGCCAGGTTCCCTTTGGAGCCCCCGAGGCCCCATTATTCTCTTTGGGAAGAAGGAAGGAGTTTGAGTCAAACTCTCAAAGCCTACCCGAGGGGGAAAGTGATTGTTTCCCCTTTGACAAGCTGAATCCCTTCGGCCTCATTTCCTCTGGAACCCACTTTTCTGAACTTTCTGCCCAGCCAGCTGTTGGCTCAGCTCCAGGGGAAGTCCACCTCTCTCGGGGCAGGCCCCTCCAGCCTCCCTGCTGTGTCTTACCTGGACTTGGAACTTCTCTTTGCCACTATCAGGCCAGCTCCGAGTCTGTCATCCTTATGAGGACACCCGAGAAATGGATACCAAGAGAGGGACTGCGGCGTGGGTGGACTGAGACTTGTGCAGCTGGGAAGCTCGTTAGAAAGACCGCTGGCTGGGGTCAGCTGCCCCTCTGCCTGCCTGCCGTGATCTGTGGTCCCAGCTTAATCCCCAAGTGGAGGCAGCTATGCCAGTGGTGGTTCTTTGATGGAGGCCTGCGCTTCCGGCCACACTCGGGTTTGTCTTCTGAGGGCCACTGCCCAGTACGATCGGTGTGGTCTCACATCCCTGTAGGGCTACTCAGCCCCAAAGCCATTGGCTGGGGTCATCGTGAGAAGGGCAGAGCCACACTCAGCCGCCAGGGTGCAGCAGCTGTGGTCCATGCAGGTGACATTCCCTTTGTGGCCACGTAGCACCCAGGACATAATGGGCACAAAGCCCAGAACTTCTTTGCACGGTGCCCTTGGGCTGCTGGCAGAGCAAGAGGTTACCCTTAACCAGATACACCCAGGAAGAAGGAACTGAAGCAAGAACCTTAACTCTGAAAAGCGTGGCGCCTATGTCGGGCGTTCCTAACCTTGGTCCTTTGACAGGCCTCAGGAGGTCCAGGAAGCAGCCGCTCCCAGAAAGTACCACGTCCCACAGTATGTGTCTGTATATGCATGGCTTTTGAGAAACCTCAGTTTTTCTCAGCATGGTAAAAGGGACAGTGATTCCACAGGTTCAGAACTAGTAGGGCAGAAGGGAGCAGCTTGCCAAGCACAGCACCTCGGGCCCTGGTTCCGTGTGGTCCTGTGTGGCGACAGAAGACTCTGGAAGGCCTCCCGGGCCTGCGTTCCTCCACCTTCTTGTAAAGTGCCTCTGGCTTACAAAGGCCACGGAAGCAAAGGCCGTCCAGGGGCTGCCTGGCTGCCGAGTTTCTGGCCAGTCTGCGCCAGCCACTTTTTGCCTGTAGCCTAGGGCAGTGGAGTTGTTATTGGTAACATAGAATGAAAACGATGGAGAAATGGGGTAGAAATGGGGAATGTTTGCGAGACACTGTTAGTGAAGTTTAGTGATTCTGTTAAAAAAGTGATGCTGGATTCTTCGGTAGCACGGGGGTAATGGCTGTGTCAAGGTCGGATTGAGCGACTGTTGACTGGTGCAGGGGAAGCCCGAGTTGGCAGACAGGCCCCCGTTCCAGCTCTTCGCTGGCCGTGGCCTGTGCCTGCTGCACCTCCACCTCTCCCACTCCCACCCCTGCAGCCAGCAGCTGATTCCTGTCTGGGAACTGCAGCATGGACTCAACCGGGATGGTGGGAGTGAAAGTAAGTCTCAGTTGCACTCAGCGCTGGGAAGCAGGCTGTAACACACTGCCCTGCACCCGGGCCTGGCACTGCCAGTCCAGACATGTGAGCCACTTGCAGAAGGGTTCTCCGGCACCCCAAGGGCATGGAGTTGGGTCTCACAGGTGTGCTTGTTCCTGGGATGGAGCCCATGGGGTGTGCCCATGGTGTCAAGGCTTTTGGCAGACCCCAGAGAAGGTGTGACATCGTGATTAAGTCTCAGTGTTTTGTGTGGAGCTGCCTGGCTGCTCAGAGCCCCCCACCCTCCTACAGCTCGCCTGCCCTGGGGGACATGGACAAGGGCCCGCAGGCCTGCCTCCCCCCCCTCCTGTGGCACGAGGCCCTTGGCCCATGGGCTTTGCCCCAAGACTAAACTCAAGGAGTGTTAATTGGCAGTGCCCAGTGGGGCCCTGTGGGTGCAGGCTGCGGCGAGCAGCGCTTCCGTCAGCGGTGTGCAGTGGCTAATGTGCTCTCCGGCGACTTGGAGCGGTGTGGTATTTACCCTGCTGACGTCAATGGGAACATATCGTCCACTGTCCTCTTCTGCGGCTTGAAATGAGCACCAGGGCTCGGAAAGCTCAGCCGCTGGCCACGCTTTTAGAATTCCACCTGCTGAGGTAAAGGCCCTGTCTCATTAGCCTGACATTCATAGCACACGTATAGAAAACAAGTTGTTTTTATTTTAATTCAAGAGGGTTGGAAACATAAAAACAGTACATTTTCCTTGCAGAAAATTACCCTATTTAAATTGCCATTTGGTACAAAGATCATTTATTAAACTGCATTTTAGGCAATTTTCTAACATTGAGTGACGGGCTACAATTTGATTTTTTTCCCCCCACATTGGTGCTATTATGATTTGCATTCAAAATACCAAAGCTATTGAACTCACCAATTTTTTCTTAGTAATTAAAAAAAAGCACACAGAAAAAAATAACTACAATTAGGTTAATTTATCAAAAGTAACTCTTTCACAGACCAAACATCCACCAACACCTCCCTCCTCCTTCAGAAACAAGCAATGATCTTGCCCTTTCTACAAAGTGCAAATATCCTCTCTAGATTTTAAAGTTGGACCCCCAAAGAGAAGCAAACCTCCTTTCTCTCTGCCTTTCCCTCCTTCAGAGGTTTTGATGAAGGCAGATTTTTTTTTTCCCATCAGTAGCAGGAAGGCTACTTCCTTGACCGAGCTACTCGCTACTCGTGGCCAGGCAGGCATCTCACAGCCAGAGGCAAGTCCCGTCCCTGGGCTTACAGGTGTAACATTCCAGTTAGGGGTCCTGTTTTTCAAGGATGTGGTTTTGTATGTCTGTTTTTAAAGCTCCTCCCTCCTTACCCACATCTGGAAAGACAACCTCTCCCATTAGAGCATGTTCTTTTTCTAACCCTAAAGGTGTCTAGAAGACTCGCTGACAAGGACCGTAAGGTCGTGGTTCCCCGAGCAGCGCCCTTCCTGAGCTGGCCGTGAGCTCAGCTGCCTGGCGGTAGAGCAGGCTGTGTCCTGCCGTCAGGCGGCCGTCGGTAGTTACTCTAGCGTGCAATGCCTTTGACAGGAGCCCGAACACCTGTAGTTGCTGGACGCGAAAGGCCAGCTTGTCTATGGGGTCTGTCGCACACAGCCTTGCTGAATGGATGCGGGGGCCCCCTGCACAGCGGCAGTCATCACCTGAAGGGCGTCTCTGCCGAGGCAGGGGGCTGCCACGTGGGGGGCGTGGCCGCGCCTGGCAAACATGGGGGCTTTGTTTATACAGCTGTTCGCCTATGCAAAGACTCAGCTGCCACCGAGCAGGGAAAGAGAGTAAGAAGCCAGAAACCCAATCAAGATGCCAGTCAGCCCAGTCCCGGCCCTGCGCTCACACGCGCCTGACCTCCGTGAAGCACGTCAGCTAACGAGAGCCCTGCCTCCCCGGGCCGCAAAGACAGGGACAGGATCTCTCGACTGCCGCGCGGGGTGGTTGAGGATTAGGAGAGGTCACTTGGGAAGGTGCTCTGTTCACTGGCGGGCAGGCGGGCCGGCTGGAACTCTCGCCGCCCAGGTCTGTGGGCAGGGCTGCGGCCCGGTTCTTAATCTGCGCAACAGTATGTGCTGACTCTGCCAAACGTGTTGAAATCTGCTCCGATGAGAGGTGGGCACGGGATGTGATGCAACCAGGACAGCCAAGAGTCTTCTAGAACTGAACAGGCCACACCTTAACTGGGGGGGGGGAGGGAGTGGTAAAAAGGGAGAGGGCACTGGGAGATTAGACTCTAGGCCCAATGGGCCTTGAAAGGCCACTGACTTTGTCTATCCTGCCGCCCTCAGGGTGGCAGAGAGCTTTGTACTCGTTTCCCATCCTGTTAGAAGGGAGGTACGGTTTCTTACAACTGTTTTCTGTTCCGTTTAGAAAGTTCTTGCTCTCCATGCATCACTCTTGAAGTTCTAGAAAACATTTCCAGAAACAAAATGATCAAAGATGCCTGCCTAAACAATGATTGCAACTGACTACCTGTTCTGCAGTTTTTACCTTTGATGTCTAGGCACAAAGAGACCGAACGGCGCGGGTGGCTTCCAAGGAGGCAGTAGAAGCAGCCCAGTGTAGGGGTACCCGTGCGGCAAAGGTCAGCCCCTGCAAAGGGATTCTGCAACTATCCACTGGGACCAGTGTTGTCAAATGACCTACGTTCTGTCTCTAGAGGAGGAACGTGAAAGTTACTTGCACTATCAGTTTTCTTTACGCCTTACAGGGAGCTTGAGTGTAACTGTCGATAGAAGTTTTAAAACGTCATCCAAGGCAGAAAAACTCTGATCCCAATATATTTAAGAACCTGGGGCTTCCGCAGAGGTTGGAAGACCCTCACAAAAGCAGCAGCACTCACTCCGTCCAGGTCACCTAGCCAGAGGCTGTTTCAACGCCCTCACTCCAGGGACCCTAGACCAACTGTGGCTAGAAGGCGGTTCTTACGGCCCTTCATTCTTCTGCCGGTCACCCAGGCACTCTCCAGCTGAGAACAACCCCTCCTCTCAACTTGGCAGAATTCTGTAAATCTCTCTGCCACAGACTCTGAGGACACCCAGTGTGTGGGAGAGGTCGGTCCCCTGACAAGTCCCTTCTGTAGGGGCCTGGAGCTGACGGCAGGGGTGGGGTGGTCTCCCACAGGGTGGTCCTTTCTCCCTCCCCATAAGGGTACAGGGTGCCCCGTTCCTGTAGGGCTCAGAGCCAGGCAGGAGCACAGGAGTTGAGGGCTGTTCTGTCATAATCCCAAGCTTCTGACGCACGCCTGCGGCCCCAGGACGTGGTGTAGACCACTGAGTTCTCGATTCTGGGGAGGCAAGGTCTGATGCAGGGAGGAGGGGCGTGCTCACACTGTGGCACTGTGGGTCCTTCTGTCCCGTCTCTAGTCCTCCCAGTGACACCCTTGCGGTAGATTCTGGGTGGTGGGTGCAGGAACCGCTGGTCCCTTCCCTGGCCTAGGGTGGCAGGTGGGCAGAAGTGGCGAGGGGAGGGCTGGGGCTGGTCAGTGTAGCTTACTAGGAATTTAGAAGTGGGACGGCCGCCCCCTTTCTGTTGTGCTCACATGCTGTGTTTGCCTTACAGGGACCAGCATTATCAGCTGCATGTAGATACTAGAGACACACTTGCCCAACTGGAAATGCAGAACTAGTGCATTTTTCCCAAAGCAGAGACTAATACCCCTGGATTAAAAAAAAAAAGAGAGAACATACACAAAAATAAAAAAGTACCACACATATTGCACTTTTTGCTGGATGAAATTTTTACCTCGCATTTATCTCACCAAAGTCTCTTCAGAGGAGCCTGGTTTACAAGATAATAAAGCAAATGATTATTATACAGTAGTGTACACACTGCTAACATGAAACAGACTGGAAAGCAAGTCAGTATTTCGTGTAAGTAGAGTGGCGTAAGCCGCCTTAGTGTTGCTACGGGTTTACGAAGAGCAAACTGCTGGCAGCTCCCAGCGGACAGCTGACTGACACAGAACCAGTCGCCTCTCCCCCGCTTACGTTTCAGCTAATAAAGGTGGCTGCAGAGTTTCCCAATTTCTGCTTGAAATGAGCTAAACAAACCGGGAGCTCAGAACCCAGCCTCCGGCCTGGTCTGCCCTTCTGCAGGCCAGTGTCCGCCATGCCTCCACTCTGCTGACTGCCACAGGCCTGGCTACTGCGCTTGCGTCCTGCTCGCTCTGGGCCCTTCAGCCTCCCAGCACTCACTCTGTCGGCCTAACTGCCCTGCCGGAGTTCCTGGGTCTCCTGGGCTAAGGAGCGCAGCCTTGGTGGGGGCAGCCACGTATGCCAATCTGTGCCATTCCTGCAGTTCTGAAATGAGCGGTCCCATTTTCAATCTGGAAGGCATTCTAATTTTTAAATATTACAGCACTTCTGTAGTACATTTTGGGAAAACATCCTCCTTCAGTCTAAACAAATCAAGCCGTTTTATAACTGGCTTATTTTGCAAAGACTTAAAACAGATTAGAGATCTTAATGAAATGATCTCTTAAATGAAATGAAGTTCTCTATTTCATGACACCATCCATCTTAAGCACAAGGAGGAATAAACAACCCATAAAAGGAACATAATTCATCCTTCCTGGATTTTTACTGCCTGTTATCAAATCACAAAAATGACGGTCCCCCCACCCCCACTGCTTTCTCCTGCTGAGTCCTTGAGTCCAACTCCAGGCAGAGCACCTCAGCAAAGCATCCTGGCACCGGTGGCCACCGTGAGGCACTGTCCAGCTGGCAACAAGGACTGCTCAGGTCACCCACACTGGGGGGGCCAGAAGACTCCTTAGGCTTGCCATGCTCCCCTCACCTGTCTGGACACTTACTACAGAGGAAAGGCAACTTAAAGGTGTTTTCTAGATGCAGCATCAGTGGAGTAGCTCTCTTCTTTGTGCTTTAAGGAAGACGCTTTGTGCTTAACGCATTCATCTGCTGACAGGACAAGCCATTCTAAAGGATAGAAATTAATAGTTTTTATAAATAATACTGGATTTGTAACACCTGGGTTTTAGTCTCCGCGTGACAGATGACTCATTACTTCTAGGTATACAGGAAATTAGCTGGAGCATCTAGTTTTCACTTCCTATGATGAATGGACTAAGGGCTGGGTTCTACTAATAATGTCAGGGGTTTGGCAGATGATCTGCTTAAACGGTTAACACATCTGTGGTTCTCTGAATATTGCTGTGAATACTTGAACATTTCATTACAAGTCAAGATTTTAAGGAAATTAATGCTGATTCCCACATGGTGGAAAACAAACTCTGAAGTGACTTTGGATTTAGCCTTGACATAAATGCAAAACCGGGTTTCTACAGAAAAGAAAGAATTAAAGCATGATCTCCGGGAGAAAGGCACAGCACTACCACTTCACATGGGACATCAAAGGTCATTTTTGTGTCATTATGGTTTCTAAGCCCTATATGAAACTGTCCAAATATACAAAGCTCAGGAAACTATTAGCAACATAAGGTGTAAAGTCAAAGGAGTTATTACACTGCAGAGAGACCAGGGATCCTCTGGAGACCAACTGGCCCAAGCCAGAAGTCTCCACAAGAGACTGCAGGAGCAGCCCGCCTGCCCTGGCCCAGGGCGGGTACTCTCCTCGCCTCGGCCCCCACTGCAGTGGCTCTCCTGACATCTCTGTAGTCCTCAGTGTAACCCAGCGGCCTCTTCTGAAGAGGTGTGTCACCTGCTTCCCAAAGGAAACGACTGCCCGGCTCAGGGGTCAGCACCAGCTGTTAGTGGTCCCGGAAACAGAGCTGATACTCCACTGCTTTGTGATGGCCTTGGGGACAACTTGCATTAGCAGCTAAGAACTTAAGATGACAAAATACAGCTTTCCTTTATTTCCTGCACATCAAATTCCATTATGTATTCTTGATTTGCCTTGAAGCAGTATGTTTGTTGCTTGGCTTCAGTGAAAATATATTGCCTTTTTATTTGCCCTATTTATAAATGCAATAGCACATCTTTTTCTTGCTTTGACCAGGGTTTCCCTCAAGAATGAACAGGCATAATTCTGCATAAAACCTAGATCTGAATGTTGTCATCTCATAAAAACATCTGTTGGTACCTCCCTCAAGATCTTGCTCCACTTGACCTAAGGGCATGAGCTGCAGCCTACAACTAGGTTCCAGCACCTGCCGCAGAAAACTGTGGCGGGACAGAGCCAGGAGGAAGCAACACCCACCCCAGCCAGGCCCTCTGTTTCCAGTTGGGTGACTTGATTTTTCCCCATTAGGGAGAGGGCAAGAAAATAAGCTTTACATTTAAAAGGCTGGAATAAAAATAGAAACACACAGTCTTCCTTCACTGGACCCACCTCACTTCCTGGGCTGAGATTAATTCACCAGGACATACCCATTGTGTTGTGGATCCACAGCGTCCAGCATTTCACAATCAAAGAGTCCCGGTAACTCAGAGAGGGCTAGGGGGTCGTAGCTGGAGGGATTCTCTTGCAGTCCAGAGCTCCTGGGACAGTCTGTCCCTGGGAGGCTGCTCTGTTGGGCCCCGTCCACGGGATACTGACAGGCAGCGGGGTAGTCTGGCACAGGAGCAGCAGCACTGGGCAGCTCGCAAGTCTGATAGGAGAACTGTAAGGGCGCTGTAGCAGCTCCTGGCTGTTGTGGTGGCGGTGGCGGTGGCGGAGGTGGTGGCTGTGGCGTGGAGGGCAAGGGCTGCAGCTGCATCTCCTGGTACTGGCTGAGAAAAGGGCTGTATTGCATTTGCTCGGAAGAAGGCTCCAGGACGGGACTCAGGGGCTGGGTCAGGCTGAACGGTGGGGGCTGCTGGGATGGTGGCGGAGTCTCCTGGTGGGGCAGGGGCAGCTGCTGACTTGGCTGTGGGTAGGATCTCTCTGCTATCTGCATCTGATTAAAATATGCCTGCAGCTGAGACTGCTTCTGGAGGAAGAGCCGTTTCTGCTGGAGCCTAAAGTGACACATCAGAAGGAAGAGTCACATGACGGCAGTTTGAACATACACAGGGACTTCCAAAACTTCATGGAAAAATGGAATTAAACAGCAAATTTATTTTAGTGCAAAAAGTATCTGAAATCCATCCATACAAAAAGCCTTCAAAAACTTCATGGAAAATTTGTATTATGAAACAAACATGCATGAATCTCAAAAATGTTTATGCCCAAATAAACCTAACTGTTTTTTCCCAAACCAAGCTGTTTTTGAAATGCTCCCGTGAATGCAAGCCGGGCACCTTCAGGCCCCACTCCTCTCCTTTCCATGAAAGGAAAGGGTGAGCGGGAGTAGGAACCAGTCAGACTGGGTTTCTTAAACTTCATCTCATGTTTTGTTCCCTCTGGTTCTGACTGACCCCTCAGTGCTAACCTGAGCACAAAGGCATTTTCTCTAAGACTTTTTTTCCGCATAAAGTTAGAGGCTGATTTCCCACCCATGGTGGGCAGTGGTCAGGCGATGAGGCCTAGACCTCTGCAGGTCGATGGATTCGGGGAATTCTGTCTTGGCCAAGCTGCTTCAGGTGAGGCCTGGGGACGTTCTCTGTGGTCTGACTTAAATTGCCTGAGGCCACTGCTTCTGACCGCTCAGGTCTGGTCCTATCCCAAAGAGGAACCGATGGAAGAAAAGGAAATCAATGCACATTTTAAGGCCATTTACACCTGACGAGCCCAAACTCCATGGACCCAGAATATCCTCACAGCAATCACGCTTGAGAAGCCTGTGGGCCTGGCATCAAAGCCTGCTTTCCGGGTGGATGTAAGCACGAGGGGCAAAGGATAACACATGCAGCAGTCTCCAAGCTTCCACAAAAGGAAGCGACTTTTTCGGCCAGAGGCCCTCTCACCTGTGTTCCTGCAGCTGCTGTTCAAGGCTCCGTGGTGGTTCTTTACAATAAAGCGGACAGGTGTTCTGAGCCTTTGACAGGAGGCCGGGCTTCTGGAAGAGCGGAGAAACAACACAATCGTGACAACATGCTGTCATGAACACTCAGTCATCAGACTGCTTCTGCCTGGACTGTGAATCCAATTGTGCCCTCCAGAGCCCATACGGGATGAAGAGACTGGCACCTGCCCATCAAGACCCTGGGAGAGGGCCGGGCCAGCAGGTGTGGGCTGCCTCAGATCTAGCACACTAGTTTTCCACTTCTGAAACTCCTCGGATTGTGTGAGAGGGGCCGGTGCCATGGCTCACTTGGCTAATCCTCTGCCTGTGGTGCTGGCATCCCATATGGGCTCTGGGTTCTAGTCCTGGTTGCTCCTCTTCTGGTCCAGCTCTCTGCTGTGGCCCGGGAGGGCAGCGGAGGATGGCCCAAGTGCTTGGGCTCCTGCACCCGCATGGGAGACCGAGAAGAAGCACCTGGCTCCTGGCTTCGGATCGGCGTAGCTCTGGCCATAGCGGCCATTTGGGGAGTGAACCAATGGAAGGAAGACCTTTTTCTCTGTCTCTGTCTCTCTCTCTCACTAAACTCTATCTGTTAAAAAAAAAAAAAAAAAAAAAAAGAGAGAGAGAGAGAGAAAAGTAGAGTTAAATTTGGTAACAAGGCCCTGGCACCTGCTGAATGCATGATGAATTCTTTATGGGATCTGTGTGTGTTATATATCTTTAAAGATGTTCATGCTCCAGTGTAGAGGACTCAAAACTTTGTGGTTATGAGATTTTGATTTCTATATTATTCATTAAGAGTTTGTTTAGGGGGCTGGTGCTGTGGTGTAGTAGGTTAAGCCTCTGCCTGCAACACTGGCATCCAATATGGGTGGCAGTTTGAGTACTGGCTGCTCCACTTCTGCATCAAGCTCCCTGTAATGGCCTGGGAAGGCTGTGGAAGATGGCCCAAGTGCTTGGGTTCCTGCACCCACGTGGGAGACCCGGAAGAAGCTCCTGGCTCTTGGCTTCTGATGGGCCCAGCTCTGGTCATTGTGGCCATCTGGGAAGTGAACCAGTGGATGGAAGATTCTCTCTTTCTGTAACTCTGCCTCGCAAATAAATAAATCTTAACAAAGAAGCCAGGTCTCCCATTCTTACCACTCAGTGTCTCCCAGGGCCTGAGGACAAATGCTTTCCCACTGCCGGCACAGACCCTAACATGTTTCTAGAAGTGCCGAGTCAAACCTACCTGCCTACACAGAGGGAAAGAGCCACCCTAACTAAATGCCAGGCCTGCCAGGCCAAGCAGGTTTCGGCCGTGCAGAAGCAGGTGCTGGATGAACAAAGTGAGCCGAGCAACAAGGGGGAGGGTCCCACCTGGAGTCTGTGCGGCAGGTACTGGGTCTCCAGGCTTTGCCGCTGGGAAAGCTGATGCACACTGGGAGGCAGCGGCGGCACGCTTTCCTGCTGCTGAGGACCGTCCTCCTGAGAAGCAAGAGGGTGACACCTGTGCTTAACTCGCCACGTGCAAAATGTTCCCATGCTCAGTGTAAGTGCTTCTGCAGTGTCCAAGAGAAATCCTAACTGTGAGACATAACACTCCAAGTCTTGACTACTACAATATCCCTGATGCACTAAAAACAGACCCCAAATAAAAAGGATTGGAAAAATAGCACTGCTTACTGTATTTTTAGCATGAATAATAATGTGACAAATCACATCACAAGTAGTGGCAAGAAGCTTCTCCTTTGGGTGACTGACGTGGATTCTTTTGTGTGGGTGTGGGTGGTGCAGGGGAGTTCAAGGGAGACTATGAGTCACCCACATACGGCTGGCTGGCGGGTGTCTGGGCCTCTAGTGGACACTTGGAGGAGCCTGGCTGGCTGTGTCAGTGGCAGGTGGTGGCAACAAGGAAAGCTTTCTGGTGTGGGTTTCCCAGAAGCACCTGCCTGCCCAAGACGGCAGGGAGCGCTCTGCGTGAACACAGTGCACGCTCACGCTCTCCTCTCCGAGCCATCGTGGGAAGAGCTCGGGACACCCACCTGAGGGCAGCTGCTGGCCAGGTCCTGGAGCTGAGGCGTGGCTGAGGCCAAGCTCGGGTCTGTCTCTGGTCCCATGTGTTCATACAGCAACTGCACTTTGTTCAGTTCTAGAATTCCTTTGGTTCTAGCCAGATTCTGAAGATGCTGTCTAAATGCTACAATTCCTGAAAGACAGTACAAAGACCAGCAGTTCAGATAAAACACAAGGCCTGTTGGTGCTCACTTTGACGAGGTGACAACTGCCCCCTCCCCCCTCCCACAGTCCTGTGACATTCAGGGCTTGAAAGGCCGGGGAGAAAGCTGTCACCTTGAGTGAGGGAGGTGTCTGACGCCCGGCGGCCCTCCCTGAAGCTCACTGGCGACCTGTTGTGGGCCTCTCGCTTCTGGGCACTCAGGGCTTGCATGGCCGGGTTGGTGGGCCTCAGGCTGATGAAGGGAGACGGCATACGGGCTGAGGGCTGATTGGCTAACATGATGTCCTTCAGGGAAGGGTTGTCCTCCAGAAAGTTCAGGTCCCTCTGAACAGACCCCATATCATACTCCGAGTCCACGCTGTCAAGGGAGGGGTTGTCACTCACGGAGAAGATTTTCCCTTTTAGAGAAAACAAAGCACATGAAACCAACAGCAGCAGCATCTGAACAGGGCACAAGCGCCCCAAGACAGCCACATGTCCTTCAATTCACAGCAGACGTCTTTTTAGAACCGTTTAATCATCTTGAGATTCTGTGGGGGAAACATTCTAGAAGCTGCACCCATAAGATCTCTGCTCCCAAAGAGCCAGAATCCCTGATGAATCACACGCCACTCGGATGACTCCTAGGAGTTACGTGGGACTCAGAGACATTTCATTTCCGTCTGTGGCTGCTGAGCAGGCCTTGTCTTGGAGCCTGCTGAAGCTGCTCCGTAAGGGGAGCCACAGACTAAAGTCTGGGCACTGCCGGGATCATCCCCACTCCGTGGTGCCTGGAGTACGAGATAGTGCTGTGTGTTGGTAAAATGGCACAGTCTTATCTACGGCGCAATCTGCACCCTGACACCATCCTAGGCTCTAGCCCCCGCCGCCATGGCTGGAAGCCAGGTGGTCACATGGCCCAACCACAGGTGTCAGCTCCACCCCTACCCTAATGGGATTCGCTGCTTCTACTTCCCTGCCCACCCCCTGGCAAAGGTGTAACAGAACCTGTTCCTGAACACATGGCTCTCTCTCCCTGTCTTTCTTTCGCTCTCTTTTCCTTCTTTACTCCTTCCTTCCGGTCTGTCGGGTTTCCCCCACCAATAAACCCTTCCCCTTACTCTGGTGTAGGGTGTGTTTTGTGGCGGCCTTACACTGAAGCTTAGCCTGGTGCACCTCTGCGGTCATACCTGTCCCAGGCAACACCACCAGCTGATTGGTCACTTCTGACAGCGTGTGTCGTCTCTGCCCGCTGCGTGTAGACTGAAATGCTTCAAAGGCATGGCCGGGGTCTTCTTCAGCCTCTCCTTCTGTCTCCAGCCCTTCGTCGATGGAGGTCTCCATCACATTGCTGGGCAGTGACTGGCATCCCTTCCTCACCAGGACGGGAGGCACGGGGTCAAGCAGACAGCCGTTCACCTGTATGTCAGGGGTGTGAGAGGAAGCCATCAGCTGCGGCTCTGCTGACACACCCGGAAAACCCACAAAGGAAAAAAGTGCCATGTCTCGTAGCAAATGAGAAATTAAGTAAAAATATTACAGATGTACCCAGGTTAGAAGTTCAGGCAAATCAACCACAGCACTCAGGGGCAGAGGAAGCTCATTAGGACCCGAATAGGCACTGCCACCCAGGTTCTCGTTACCGAGTCACTGTTACTACACTAAACAACTTTTTAGTGGTTTCCAGATGGACAGGGGTCTATTAGCTCAGGGCTTACCAGTTACAGCTTTTAAATAAGGGAATTGAAGAGGGATAGGATGGGATCTTTTGTTTTTTTCTTCAAACTACACGGCTCACAGCTAAGAGCAGACATCAACATTCTTCTAACATCCAACCACAGAACAGACTAGAAGCTTCTAAACATACTTTTATGTTTGTAAGTACCTGCCCATTTGATTTAATCTTTAATTGGTCTTATGTGCCTGAGGAATGGAAAGTATGAATTCTTTGAAGACGGACTGATACCACAAAAAGGACTGAAAGAAAAAAAAATTCAAATGGCAAACAGCCAGAGTCTTCCATTATAGAATAACAATGACTCACAGGCCCCAAATTCCAGCAGAGGTTAATAGGCCCCAACGCACAGAACTTGCTCCTCTGCCGCACATTCAGAACCCACAGTTCCTACTCAGAAGGACTAGCGCAGCTCCCGGGCCGCACTCCACCCCGCAGGGCAGCTGCCCAGCAAAGCACCGCACAGTAGGCAGCAAGAGCACACAGAAGGGAGCTGTGATCGTGAGTCTTTCTGGCTGGTCCAAGTCCCAGCGAGGAGGCACTTATTTACCTCATTACCTTAACTATTCCCCTATGGAAGTCAATGCATTTTCTCCTGTGAATAGATGCTCAGGAACAGCCAGTCACGAGACGCTCAGCTCACTTACACCTGGAGTACACTAGGTAGAGCTGTTGTTTCTTTGGGAAGCAGGGGAAGCTCATGCATGTGAGAGGTGATGCGGGCATCCCCGTGCCAGACACAGGATACTTTCCTCTTATGGCAAGCAAGCTGACAGCCCCGCAAGGCCCTTTATTTGGAGAGGAAACCATGAGTGACTCAGATCTTTGTTTGCATGGGGGAGGGGATGGTTACTCATAAAAACTGTTCTGGGGCTAGAGCCATTACTCCCATCAGGTGGCTAAGGCAGGAGAAGGTTTTAAAGTGATGAGTGGTCTTTAAAGGAGTGGCAAATGCTTTCTTCCCAGATAAGACCAATCTGCCCCGAGGCACCAGAAAACAAAACTTTAAGATCTGGCCTGCGATTCTGATCCTCTCCTTGGCCCTTCCCTTGCTAACATTTTCTTCCTTTTGGGCTATACTTTATAGTTATCTTGCAGGACAGAATGGCCTTGTGAGAAGTTATATTACCCTGGATTCCTTAGCTGTTGACTAATATAGTTTTCCAAGGCTAGTCAGGGAAGATTTAGAAATGAATAAAGCAACAGGGAAAAGAATGTCACAAGTAATTATCTACTGAGCATCTTTACACCCACAGCCTCAGCTGAAATCTTAGCAGACATTCCTACAGTGTACAGCACACAAACAGGCTTTTTCCCCCTTAACAGAGAAAAACACCTTTTTTTCTGAATCACTCAGAATCCCCTGCTGTCCCCAGAATTTATAAGTTTACTGAAGTTACCAGTTAATGAATGTCTCCTCATTCAGACCACAAGAGGAATGGCTCTCCTCCCAGGAAAGCTAGAAGGCAAGGATCTCAGTTCTCATCCACAGCAGCTGGCAGACAATGTCGCTGTCTGATGTGATCAGGAAAGCAGGGTGGGGACCACGCATGGTTAACAGGTGTGCACTTTTTCAGCCTTAAGTTCAGTTTTGTGGGCCAGCCCATCAGCAGGCCACCCTGGCCTGCCCATTTAACAGGGACTTGATTCAACAGCCTAAATTCAGTTCTAGCATTCTGTGACTGACCTATTGCGCTGATCTATCTAGATGACCTAAGCTGCTACAAAAAGATCTTATGCTCTCTCTAGGAACTAATCTAGGCTAACTATAAATTACAGCACTTCAAAATACAACGTGAGGGAAAGGTACATTTTCTGGTACATTGTTTTTATCTTGAGCTTCATTGATCACATCCCTTGTAGGAGACCATGGAGTGAACGTTTCAGAGACCCCACCACTGACTGAGAAAGCCCCTGAGTTTACCATCAGGACAAGAACTGGCTTGGGGAAGACTGATGGGCTGGATGCTTGTATCTCCCCTGTCTCCAATTCATCTGTTGAAGCCATACCCCCCAGGTGGCTGTATTTGAAGATGGGTCTCTAAGAGAGCAGGGATCCTATCTGACAGTAGTACCCTCAGGAGAGAGGGACACCAGAGAGCTTACACTGAGCCCGGCCTCAGGCACACAGGAACGGCCATGTGAGGACAGAAGCCACAATGAGAAGGTGGCCACCTGCCATCCAGAGAGAAGACCTTCCCCAGAAACAACTCAGCCTTGGTTCTGGACTTGCTGGACGCCACAGCTGCAGTACTTTGTTGTGGCAGCTGAACAGACTAACACAGCAGGCCAAAGCACACCCCCAGCCGGTGAGCGCGGAGGCCAGGAACGCGCCTCACTGAATTTGTACCCTAAGTGCCTGGCATCTCCTGAACTGCTGCAGGCTTTAACCTTAGCTCCATTCCTTACTAGGAGACATGCTTCTATCCAGCTCACTTTCTTTCATTTGTAACATGGGAAAAAGTTATTGTTTGGGAGATTAAGATAATTTATAAAAAATAGCATTCTGAGGGCCAGCACTACTGCGTAGTGGATAAAGCCATTTAGAGTCCCCGCTGTTTCATTTCCGATCCAGCTCTCTGCTATGGCCTGGGAAAGCAGTAGAAGATGGCCCAGGTGCTTGGGCCCCACAAGAAGCTCCTGGCTCTTGGCTTCAAATCGGCCCAGCTCTGGCCATTGTGGCCATTTGGAGAGTGAACCAGTGAATGGAAAACACATCCATCTCTCTCTCTCTCTCTTCCCCTCAACCCCCCGGCTCCGCCTCTCTGTAACTCTGCCTTTCAAATAAATGAATAAATCTTTTTTTTTTAAAAAGAACCAAACCAGCACTCTTAATATTAGGTATGTAATATATTTTAATTAATTATTATCTGACCGAAGGGAATGCTTTATAATGAAATTTTTAAAAGCATGGGAGAACTACCACACTTCCTTTTAAAGTATTTTTATCATCTTGAGGCAAACTAAAATCAACAAATTGCCAGGCCAAGAAGCAAAGCACTGCATTTTCTGTTCTAGAAATTTATGTTAAAGAAATAATCAGAGGTAGAGTCAGAGATTTAGATAAGAATATTTACCTTCAGCATATATAACGGTGCTTCTTTCTTTCTTTTTTTTTTTTTTTTTTTTTTTTTTTTGGACAGGCAGAGTGGGCAGTCAGAGAGAGAGAGAGACAGAGAGAAAGGTCTTCCTTTTTGCTGTTGGTTCACCCTCCAATGGCCGCTGCGGCCGGCGCATCACGCTGATCCGAAGGCAGGAGCCAGGTGCTTCTCCTGGTCTCCCATGTGGGTGCAGGGCCCAAGCACCTGGGCCATCCTCCACTGCACTCCCTGGCCACAGCAGAGGGCTGGCCTGGAAGAGGGGCAATGGGACAGAATCCTGCGCCCTGACCAGGACTAGAACCTGGTGTGCCGGTGCCACAAGGCGGAGGATTAGCCTACTGAGCCACAGCGCCGGCACCTTCAGCATATATAAAGATGTGAAAAAAATCTGGAGTATGTGATGTCCAACAACAGGAGAGCAGTGAGGCGGGGTGCATTCTGGTGCAACAGTTAAGGCAGCTAGCTGCTCAGACTCACACTTTGAACGAACATTTCAGAAATGGAGAAAATGCTCATGATATCATATGTAAAGCAAGACACAAAATGACACACAATAGAATACAACTTTGTTCTAAAAAACTGAACTACCTATTGAGACACTTTATGCTTACCTGGCTGCCAACATCTCTAATAACATTTGGGTCATGGAATTATGGATAAATAAATTTTTCCTTCTCTGAATTTTTCATGTGTGATTATTATTGGCTTCATTTTTTCAGTTTTAAATTACAATTTGTAAAATATTAGATTTCAGAAATAAAAGTGCAGGGCCAGAGATGAGGTGTGATTGATAAATTCTCCACCTGAGACCCCAGCATCCCATGTGGGCACTGGTTTGAGTCCCAGCTGCTCCACTTCTGATCCAGCTCCCTGCTAGTGCACCTTGGAAAAGCAGCGGAAGATGATCCAAGTGTTTGGGCCCCTGCCACCCACGTGGGAGACCCAGATGAAGTTCCTGACTCCTGCCTTCAGCCTGGCCCAGCATCGGTTATTGCAGCCACCTAGGGAATGAACCAGCAGATGAAAGACCTCTCTCTCTCACTTCAACTTTCAAAATAAATACATCTTAAAAAAAAAAAAAAAAAGGGCAGCAAAACACATAGCTGTGATGCATTCATTCAGAAAACAGGTGAGTATATTGCATAAATACATAAAAAAGCAGTAAGAACAAAGAAGGAGCTGCTCATCTAGCAGTTTTTCTGTGTACATTTATCTATGGGCCCCAAACAAAGAGGCAGTGGGTAGGGAAAAGGGACACAAATGACATGGTCCCCAGTTAAGTCCAGCGGTCATCTGTGGCCTGGCTGCTTGTCAGGCTGGCACTTGCCAGTGTGGGTGGCCAGTTCCAGCATGGCGCTGTTCTTCCCATGAATGCAAATAAACCATCTAGCTACTGACTATAACTTTCGCAAAATCATTCATTTCCCGTCTGTTTCCTAGTTACGGTAACAATCACAAGCTTTAAAAATAGCTTGCCCTATATAATACAGCAGACAGCGCCCAATCTGTGTTTCAGGCCTGATGCCCTCACAGACAAGCCTTTAGCAGACAACATTTAAATTTTTTGAGGGAATTAGATCTTCGACATAAATGAATTATGTTGCCCTAATTTATGTCTTATTTTCTGAGTGGGAATGCAGTAGTAATTTATGAGGTTATTTAACATACTAGGCAACCACAGGCAGACAAAACAGACTGTCCACAGGAAGTGGTCTCGTCCACAGGGCACGGACACTAACCACTTGTGGCCAGCAACCCGGCTGAATGACTGCTTGTGGCAGCCTGGCTCCTGGCTTTGCGCGAGCTAAACTCATCATTCATCTTCTGAATCTGCCCAACCTCCAGAGTCCCCAGTTTCTGAAAATAACGCTCACTTCCCAGTCAGCTCAAAGTCTTGTTGCCTGTTCGGACTCACTTGCTTCAGAGCCCGATATTCTATCAATTTTATCTAAACCTGTCACTGATGTCATTCCCTCCTGTCCAGTCCCATGACTGCTCTCATTATCTCTCCATTTTCCTTGTCACAAGTCTCTCCCCTATCGAATGCCTGCTAGGCATCCATCCAGCTAATTTTCTGAAGCACACATGGATCAAAGTCATTTCCTAGACGTGGAACATTGTTTCCATTCCTACTTAAACATGTCCCCACCGTGAGAGCAGGATCGAATTGCTTGGCTTGCCATTCACAACTAGTTTGTTCAGATTTACTATTATTGTTTTGACTATTTGTTTGAAAGGCAGAGCAAGACACACATGCACACGCACACACACAGAGAATATGAATATCTTCCATCAGCTTGTTCACTCTTCACTCCCCAAATGGCTATAACATCCATGTTTGAGTTAGGCCAAGGCTAGGAGCCAAGAACTCCATCCTGGTTTCCCTCAAGGGCGGCAGGGACCACTCTATGCTGCTCTCCCAGGAGTGTTATCTGGGAACAGGACTGAAGGTGGAGTAGCTAAGACTCAAACCAGCACTCAGATATGGGATGCTGGCATTACAAGTGGCAGCTTAACCCACCAAGCACAACACTGGCCCCTGTTTACCTGTATACCACAGTTTCCCTTTAGATGCCCTTTGACTCGGGCAAACTAAACCACTGCCCTTACTGAGATGAACCCAGGCTTTCCTAACATTTGATTTCCCTCAAGTTTTTCCCTCCACTGAAGATCCCCCACCCCAGCTTCCACTCACCCTGGTTCTACCCACCTCTTGGTTCCCAGATCTGACAGCTGGCCTTCAGACCTTCCTGATCAGGTAACTAAAAGCAACTTCCCCTGCCTCCTCCTAGTCTTTGATTTATACTTCTTTCAGAACCCAATCATATTTTATCCCTCATCAATTTAATAAAGTACCCCATATGCTGTCTTTAACTATGTATAATGTTTCTTCTGCTAAACCATAGCCCAACAGTCTGTGAGGCAGAGTTCAAGTATGACTCATCTTGTTACCTAAAGAGGCTAAAACAACAGGAAAGGAATATTTACCAATTATCTCTAACTGGACCAAAACTTTACATACATTATTTCAATTAATCATCACAACAGTGATAAAATTGTTATTCTCATTTTGCACAAGTGAGAACTGCATCTGTCACCTTGTCCAAGTTTACACAGGCAGTAAGAGCAGAGTTTGAGCACATGCCAAGACCTGCAGCCTTTTCTGACACTTTGCTACCCAGCAATGATTCTGTGCACATCACTCAGTGCTAGGCATCTGCAGCACATGTTAAAGTTAAACAAATACCCACCCAATCAGAGAAGCTCATCTTCTGTATCTGAAAAGCCAATTCTATGCAGTACATCAATGCAGATTTATCCCCCTCAAGCATGTGCAAACTAGACAAAGACGGTTAACTGATCAAAAAAGATGGCCCAGCATTTTGTAGCTGCTGTACCCTGGGCGGAAAAGAGGTAATAATAACAATACAGACAAAGTCCAATTCAGCACAGTAGTGTACTTTTCATTTTCAGAGCTGTAATTTGGTAGGGGAAAAAAAAAAACACCCCACACACTTATGTGGCATTTAGTTATGTAAAGAGAGAAGGAACTGGATATGGAAGGAGAGAGGCTTTTGAGAAAGAAGCACACTGGAAGTCTGACTTACATTACTAACAGTCATATGATAAATCTCAATGACAGTTTGGCCCTAGAGATTTTTCTCAGATTCTTCACAAAAACAACAATCTTAAGTGACTTGAGAAAAAGATGAGGCTCAACAAAGGCCAAGCAGCCCAACCACAGTTCTGTGGGCCATCCTGCAAGTCCTAGTCTCCCATATGTCAGTACCTTTGGCGTGTCGACACACTCCTCTTCCATAAATGCTGCTTCCGCCTGACAGCCGGATGCCGGAAAGGAAAAGGCCTCCACATTGGAAGCCTGTGGGAGGAGCGTGGATCGCATCAGCCTCATGTTCGGTGAATGCACGCTCACTGGGATTCCCACGGTTTGAGCCTGTAAATATGACAAGAGGAGACACGCTGCGAATGTTAATACTTTCTCTATAAACATATACAGTTCTTAGAATAAAATAATTCTTCCTGGGGCAATTAAAATCTAAATGGCAATTTATCAGAAATTCCAGACAAGATCTAATGAAATATATGTATAGTACAGGTATCAGTTTGAAGCATGCTTGGCAGTTAGTTACCCTAAAACAGGTTGTACAGAATTTCATTCTTGTCCCACGATGAGGTTCCCCACTTTCACGCAGGTGAAAGTGCAAGAAGGCCAGTCTTTAGAAGAGATTGAGGGATGCTCTTTGTTTTAATTTATAAACATATATTGGCTCTTTATAGGCAAAGGATCTTCAAAGAGATCATGGACAATGTGTATTATGAAAAACTACAGATTTCAAAATATTTTTACAGCAAAATCAACTTTTTAAATTCTGCTTTCCACCAAGTTTTTAAAGTGCCTCATATATTATACAACTTGGAAATATAAAGAAAAGTCTCTGTTCTTTGGAGCTCAAAATTGAACCAGAGATACACGGACACCCAAAACTGACTACAGTACAAATCACATTGAAGTATAAGTACTTCAACTTTCTCTCTGCCCTTTTTGGGGTATGGAGGGTACAAGGGTATGAGATGGTATGCATTTCTTGGCAAAGATATAGGAAAAGGAACAAAAGAGAAGTGGTAGTGGTGTCCTCCTTCCCCTGAGGAGACACACAGCCTGCTGGCCCCATGGGAAGAAGGGACACTTGTGGCTGAGAAAGTTAGACTCCACTAGTCAGTCTTCCATAGCAAGTTCCTGATGGTATTTAGTCCCTTATTTATAGCTCCTTTTAAGTACCTAAGTAAACAAGCACCACAAACTCTTCCTTCAAAAAATCATTTGGAGTTTATCTCCTCTACCCTGTGATCCTTGGTACCTTGCAAATACTATGGATAGTTCATAGAAGTTGAATCATATGGTGTGGGCATTATAGCATGGTGGGTTAAGCTTGGGATACCTGCAGTCCAAGTCAGATTGCACATTTCAGTCTTGGTTGATTGCTTTGCTTAACATACAGATTCCTAGGGCTGGTGCTGTGGTTCAGTGGGTTAAAGCCCAGGTCTGCAGTGCCAGCATCCCATATGGGCACTGGTTCAAGTCCCAGATGCTCCACTTCTGATCTAGCTCATTGCTATGGCCTGGGAAAGCAGTAGAAGATGGCCCAAATGCTTGAGCCCCTGTAACCATGTGGGAGACCTGGAAGAAGCTCCAGGCTCCTGGCTTCAGATTGGTCCAGCTCCAGCCGTTGTGGCCATTTGGGGACTGAACCAGTGGATAGAAGACCTTTCTCTGTCTCTGCCTCTCAAAAAAAAAAAAAAAAAAAAAAGATACAGGTCCCTGGGTCAGCTTTGTGTCCTAGTGGGTTAGACAGCCACCTATAATGCCAGCATGCTATATGGGCATCAGTTTGAGTCCCAGCTGTTCCAGTTCCAATTCAGCTTCCTGCTAATGGCCTGGAAAAAGTTGTGGAAGAAGGCCCAAGTGCTTGGGCTCCTGCACACACGTAAGAGACCCAGATGAAGCTCCTGGCTTGGCCTGGCTCAGCCCTGGTCATTGCAGCCATCTCAAGAACCAGTGGAGCCGGCACCGCGGCTCACTAGGCTAATCCTCCGCCTTGCGGCGCCAGCACACCGGGTTCTAGTCCCGGTCGGGGCGCCGGATTCTGTCCCGGCTGCCCCTCTTCCAGGCCAGCTCTCTGCTGTGGCCCGGGAGTGCAGTGGAGGATGGCCCAAGTGCTTGGGCCCTGCACCCGCATGGGAGACCAGGAAAAGCACCTGGCTCCTGCCTTCGGATCAGCGCGGTGCTCCTTGTGTAAGAATAGTCTAAGACAGCACCTGAAGAAGATAGCCTGAAAATGAGATGCCAACATGACAACAATCTGCGGACCCCTTCCGGTCCCTGCCTCTTGCTAGCTCTGGCTCTGTAAATGGCAGGGCTGTGCAGTGCCAGATTAGCACAGCACATTCTCCTCGACCACTTTTACATCTGACCTGGAGTACAACAGCTGACTGCGAACTTGGTAAGGACAGAGGAATAACGTGTTTTGTTGTGACAATCACTTCCTAGGAAATGGGATGATAGGTTTTAGGCACGGACTAAACATATCTTTTTGGAACAAGGGAGGGTATAAATATCAAATGCCATGACAGCACTATGGAGCTGATTAGAGACTATGTTATTGAAATAAACTATAGATTAATATCCAAGTAAGCAGATATTATTAGATTCAAGAATAGCAATAAACAATGATCATACCCAACAAGCTGTGATCACTGTTTAGACCATATGTTTATGCTGTGAATCTCTGCCTCCGAATATGTGTTTTCCAGAACCAGTGAAGTGAAAATAATGTACCTTCCCATGGGAAAATTGTTACTGTTTCAATAGGCAAATAGCTGTCACACACTGGATGTGTCCTTCCCAAATTTCTAAGTTGAAGCCCTCACCCTCAATGTGACTATTTTTGGAGACAGACCCTGTATGAAGATAACGTTTAACGTCATAAGGATCCCCTGATTCTCTAGGGCTGGTATCCTTATAAAAAGAGGAAGAGCTCCCAGAGATCTTTTTCACTCCAACTCACATAGAGGAAAAGCCGTGTGAGGACACAGTATGAGGGCCGCCACCTACAGGCCAGGAAGACAGCACTTTCCAGAAAACCTTGACGGCACCCTGATCTTGCTTTTGTAGCCTCCAGAACTACGAGGAAATAATTTCTACAGTTTAGGCCACTAGTCTGTGGCATTTTGTTACAGCAGCCCTACATATAATACATTTTCCTCTAGCTGTAGAAGACAACCTCTAGTGGGTAATTAAGAAACTGGGATGATTGTTTCATTTTTGTCTGCACATACTGGTGGAAAATTGGAGTGGAAGAACTGTTAAAACTAGTGGTTAGAGGAGCCAGCATCGTGGTGCAGCAGGTAAAGTTGCCGCCTGCAGTGCCGGCATCCCACATGGGCACCGATTTGAGTCCAGGCTGCTCCACTTCCAATCCATTCCCTGCTTATGGCCTGGGGAAACAGTGGAAGATGGCCCAAGTGTTTGGGACCCTGAAACCCCTGTGGGAGACCTGGAAGAAGTTCCTGGCTCCTGGTTTCAGCCTGCCTTTTTGGGCCAGGCCATCTGGGGAAAGAACCAGTGGATGGAAGATTCCTTTCTGTCTCTCTCTTGCTCTCTGTAACTCTTTTAAAAATAAATAAATAAATCTTAAAAAAAAAAAAGTGGTTAGATTTCATGAGAAAAAGGCATGACATTTTCTAAATGGATCTAAGATGGGATTCTACTGTCTTCTAGATAATAACAGGTGATTTTTCACTAGTTGACAAACTCCTTAATGGCAGGGATTATTTCCTGGGTACCTCTGAGGCCACAGTGGCTGGGACTGTGCCTGGCATGTAAGTCCTCTGCTGAACTGAACTGGTGGTCCAGGTTAACTAATTTTATCTTGGTAGCCATCTTATGTAGTAGTTATGACTATTTCCATTTTATGTTGTAGGACACAGGCGCTCAAGAGATGCTGCCGTGCCTGACGTCACTCAGCTCCATAAGGAACTCCAGGTCTGTGTAACTCCACAGTTCATGTGGTTCTTGTAATAAATTATGTTGTTTCCTCAAGTTATTTTTTTTTAAAGATTTATTTATTTATTTATCTGAAAGAGTTATAGGGAGAGAAGGACAGACTGAAAGATCTTCCATTTGCTGGCCCACTCCGCACATGGCTGCAATGGCCAGAGCTGGGCTGGTCAGAAGCGAGGAACTCCTTCCAGGTCTCCCCTGTAGGCCATCCTTTCCTGCCTTCCCCAGTGCACCAGCAGGGAGCTGAATCTTTAGAAGTAGAGCAGCTGGGACTCGAACTGGCACCCATATGGGATGCCGGCACTGCAGACGGCAGCTTAACCTGCTGTGCCACAGTGCCAGCCCTGTTTCCTCAATTTCTTACTGCTGTATCAAGTAACAAGTGATTTGTCACTTAAAAAAAATTAGAACATAAAAGAATTAAAGTGAGAAAGTGCTTCTAAAAGCACATTTATATTCATAAAAACAGTGAAGTCAACTGTGTAATAAGTCCAATGCTAAAACTTTGGACGTGAAATCTCTGAAGGAAGCGAGTATTTTCTTCCTGTGCCTATTGCTTAGCATCCAGGGGGCACTCGAGATAAGCTTGAAGACTTCTATTTGCATTAGAGACATTTTACGTTATAGTAAGTGAGTTTCTATGACGACTTGGGTCAGTGCATAAAGTGAAACGAAACTCACGATGGTAATAAAAAATAAAGTTATCAAACATAAGAAGCTGTGCCACACATATAAACCCCAAGCCAAATCAAATACAATTTGAGATATCCCAGGGAATTTGCTTAAAGTCTAGATATGAAAGGATATCATGTACAATAACATACACGCGTGCGTAGGAACAACTGTTTATGTAACCCTTTGCCACTCCCTCCCTGGTGTAATGCTTAGGAAGAACAAAGGGACTCGCAGGGGAAGCCTGCTGTGGCACTGGGAGCGCTCCTGCTTCCTACCCAGTTGCCTGGTGGCATCTACAAGAGGGAAGAGGCATCCCTGTACCTCGCTATTATAACACCAACTTATGGATTCTCATTTTATCTCCCTCCCTGTCTTGAAAGCAATACCTACAACTGTGAATGATTCCAAATGCTTAGATACTCTAATCCAAATCATCAAAAACTGTACAAATACATTACTTTACTCACATTTATATCAATACTCACATTATTTAATATATGAAGTGTGTATAAAAATACACCAAAATCAAGATTTTAACTTCTTTGGTTTTTAACATGTTCTGGAGAAGCCACTGCAAATTTTTACTGCATCCCTGTACATTTTGTAAAGCTGTGAAAGAAATACAAAGTCCAAACTCCTTTGCTCTTAATTTCACTTTGACCAAAGTCAATTACTCACAAAAGTGGAAGGAATCCTAATACGGCACATCAACAAACCACTCTTATTTAGCTCCAGTCTTTCTGCTGGGATTCAGATCTTCTACCTAAGCAATTCGGTTAGTACCACATTATTATCTCAGGCCCAGAATCCAGAGCGAAGTCATCTGTCACTCAACTCATTGCTGTCCCTTTCTCCCCAACACTTACTACTACACTTATTATAGGCCAGGTATTGCTCTAAGCACTTCAAAAATATTAATTAATTATACTGTCACAACATTCTATTCTTATCACCATTTGACACTTGGGAAATTGAGGCAGAAAAAGACCTTAAGAAACTTTAAATGGCAGAATCTGGAATTTGCTGGAGGCCTTGTTTTTAACCACCACACTGAGCTGACTCTCCAAACCACTGCTACGTTCACGAAGAGACTACCTCTGGAAGGATTTTTCTACTTGGTTCCTCCTCTTCACTTTCACCAGTACCTTACTGATGTAAGCCTTCAGTGTTTCTCATCTTAACTACCACAATGATCTCCTAGCAGCTCTCTCCAAATTTCTTCTCTTCCCCATCCAGCCCATCCTTCTCAAGGCTACCAGATCAAGTACTTTAAGCATGGATCTAATGCTATCACTTTCCTGCTGAACAGCTTTCAGTAGTTTCCAGTTGCTTCCTGAATTATAAGTAACTCTTCACCTTGGCAAAGCTTTTTACAACATGGCTTCATCTTGTCACTCCAACTTTTTAAATAGCACTATATAATCACGTTGCTTAATGAAGGGACAATGTTCTGAGACGTGTATCATCAGGTGATTTTTTCACAGTCAGAACATTATAGATTGAAGCTACACAAATGAAGACATTTGGGGTGGGCATCTGCCCCAACAGTTTAAGCTGCTAGTCAGGATGCTCTCATCCCATGTCAGAGTACCTGGGTTCAATAACCAGCTCAGGTTCTTGAATCTAGCTTTCTTTTAATGCAGAACCTGGGAGAAGAAGGGATGACTCAAATAGCTAGGTCCATACTACACGTGGGGTAGGCCTGGATTGAGTTCCCAGTTTCTGGCCTAGGTCTGGCCATTGTAGGCATTTGGAGAGCAAACCAGTAGATAAGAGCTCAATCTCTCTGTCTCTCAAATAAAAACAACAACAACAACAAAACTACCATGTCACTAGGCAACACATATGAGACCTACCATGTCACTAGGCAACACATATCAGACCACACTCATTTATGTTTTCTGTTGGGAATGTTGTTATGTGTGCATAACTGTACTTCCAAGTGGATTAATTCATTTAATTTTTTAAAAAAATATTTACTTATTTGAAAGGTAGAGATGCACAGAGAGAAGGGGAAAGGGAGGGGGAGTGGGGAAGGAGAGAGAGAGAGAAAGAGAGAGAAAGAGAGAGAGATCCTCCATCTGCTGGTTCATTCCCCAAATGGCTGCAATGGTTGGGACTGGGTCAGGCTAAAGCCAGGAGCCTGGAGCTTCTCCTGGGTCTCCTATGTGAGTACAGGGGCCCAAGGGTTTGGGGCATCTTCCTCTGCCTTCCTAGGCCAATAGCAGGGAGCTGAATTGGAAGTGGAGTAGCTGGGACTCGAACTGGCACCCATATGGTATGCTAGCACTACAGGCGGAGGCTTAACCTTCTACACCACAGTGCCAGCCCCTATTTATAATTTTATTAAATTTATTTTTATTTATTTGAAAGAGTGGGAGAGAGGTAGACACAGAAAGTGATCTCACACTTACCAGTTTACTCTCCAAATGGCTGCAAAACTGGACGTGGGCCAGGCTGAAACTAGGAGCCCAGAACTCCATCTAAGTAGTACACGAGGGAAGCAGGGGCTCAAGTACTTTGGCCATCAGCTGCTGCCTTTCAAGGGACAAATTAGCAGGAGTCTGGACTCTAAGCCACAGCTGGGACCAGAACCCATACGCTATGACATGGGATGCAGGCATTCCAAGTGGTATCTTAACTACTGCACCAAACACCAGCTTCTTTGGATTAATTTAAACAAGACCTACACTTGCTCATGTGGGTGCTTCTGCTCTTCTGGGCTGATTCTTCTACCTATCCACAGTGCCTTCATCGAGTGCCCCTCCCTACAAATCTGGGAAGATCTGTTTTAAATGCCTTCTTTCCCATGAAGCTTTTCCCTTTGAGATGTGCCTCTCTCGCTCTTGTCTTTTGAATGATTATTTATGATTATGTTTTATTTCGCTTTACAGTACGAGAGTACTTCAAAAGTTCATGGAAAATAAAATTAAAAGGTAAATTTATTTTTGATGTGAAACAAATTTGAAATATATGCATATGAGGGATCTTCACAAAGTTCATGAAAAATGTGTATTACCAGAAAAAAAAACTACATGGATTTCAGTTTCTATTCTTAAAAATAGAAAGGTGCTAAAACATTTGAGAATCCAGTGAATGACAGAGGCAGAAACTTTACAGAAAAACAGGGTAGGAGATGAAATACTAACCCTTTGTACCACAAGAAGAAAAATATGTCAAACATGTGAATAGGCACATGCACAGATAAGACACTGGCTAATGGGGCGTTACCTTGGCAACTGTTTGTTCTGCAATGGTGCTAGGCCGACGCTGGCGGCCATCAAGTCTCTGCTCCACAGGAAAACTGCTCCTATGGGACTTCAGGCGCTCCACCAACAAGAAATAAATGGCAGCAAAGTGGTTGTAGCTCTTGTTCTGCAAAGACTGAAAGAAAAAACAAGTGCTGCAGGCAGAGAATCATAAAAACCAATGCAGTGATCTATACCTTTCTTAAAAAAAAAAAAAAAAAAGAGGAGGAAACCATGTGCTCTTAAGAACACAGTGACAGAGTATACCTCAATGAAAGCTACTCCAGAGTTCAGGCTAGAAAGCACCATTTAAAGTACCTTTTACATGATCAGGATCTATTAATTTTTCTGCAGTAAGAAAAAAATGCCACATTGACCCCAGAGACCAACAGTCCCATCTCATGTCCGCAACTCTGGCCTAAGGTTATGTGGCAACCTGAGCCAGATGCTCTAATCCCACACTTCAATCCCAGTTGAAATCACTGAAAACTCTGAAGTGAACGATTAAAACCTTTGGGGAACTTTTTAGTGATTGTTTTGGGCTGGAGAATGACATCTGGATGCTAGGTTGAGAGACACTGTGTCTCCATTCTTAAGTAATTTTTTCCGCTTATTTTTACAGTCCCACCCTTTTGAAATCTTGAAAATATAGTTGCTTCCCAAATTTTCACATCTCTGGCCTGCCAGCTTTCCTTAGATGCTAATAGAGTAGAGCAACAACTGTTCCTTTGGCTTCTAATTCCACCTGACAGCGCGGGTGCTGTGCAGAGCACCCTCAGTGAAGATCACTCACAGCTGCCATTCTGGATCTACTTCCCGGACAAGCACAGAAACATATCACTGAGTGCACAATCAGCAGAGCAGAGAGCCGGTTTGGTTTTGCTTTGGACCCAGGGGCAGAAATGGCAGTGCGGTTTGGAGCCTTGGTCTTCCACAGCAAACAAGGGCATTTGGTGTTTTCTCTCATGCTTCCTCCTTAAAAGCACTATTTGTTTACTACTGTTGGGGAGGTATTAAGAATATGTATATCTAAAAATATGCTAACTATTAGAGGACAGAAATAAAGCCAAAAGGAATTTTCTAGGTTCATGACCTTCTCAGTTCTATGAACCCTAAGATTTCCAAATCAAGACCCCACCTGTTTGCGCCTTCTTAGTTTCTCCAGTTCACAATCTAGATTTCACTGGCTTTCTTAAACTTGATACCTTCCTTTTTGGTTTCCTACTTAGCTCCAGCCTTGCTGCATGGCTGCACACTTACATTCCATACAAAACTAGTTAAATACTTATATAAAACTTTATGCTTCATATTGGAAGAAACTTTCTACCTTAGATTTGTTAAGTGTCCATCTTTGCCTTTCTTGAATCCTCTATAAACCTTTCCTCTTGAATTTTTTGGCAGATGGGGCAAAGGAAGGAATTTAGACATTTAATAAAAGCAAATATAAATAGAGTCTGATGTAATCCTCAGGGAACATTCATTCAACAGTATACCTAGGTTCTAGGGATGGATTTGATAACAGACCAGAACGACAGGTGTGAGCATGAAATATCAAGTTACTAAGTGTGAAAGTATCCTGAGACATCTATAGTCAAATCTCTGAACATTTTACCTCAATGGTTTTCTGCTGATCTATTCCAAGGCTGTGCATCAACCGCAGAACCTGTTCATTAAACTCCCCGATGGACGGCTCATTTTCTTGCTCTTGTGGATAGAGAACAGGTCTCTGTACAGGAACTTCTATGAGCATCCATTTATGCTCCTTGATTTGAGCTATGGTCAGTCGTTTGGATGGGTCTAGGACCAACATCCTTCGAATGAGGTGCTCACAATCTATAGAAAACACAATGTTACAAATGTCACATAAATCACCTTGCCCTTCAGGGTTGTTTGTTTGACTCATGTGACTTGGCCCAACAGTGTTAATCTTTATATTCTCCATTGGAAATCAGAAGATCAAATGAGTAAATAATACATGAAGGTGGCTACTTAAATTTGTCAAGTTCATGAATACATAAAAAAAAAGAGGAGTGAGTCTATCTGATTCTGGGCTACATTAAACTTTCTACTGGATTTCTCAACTGACAATATCCAGACAGACAAATTTCCACTCAAGAAAAAAAATAACCTTCATTCCTAGAAAAAGCAAATAATAAACTGATTCTCACCCACATCTAAGCTTGTTACATTTGGGCAATGTAAATGAGACAAAGAACTTTCTCCAAAGGGCTGCTGCTTTTCTCATTAGTGCAGCTGAGAAAACTATAACATGAAACATTACTTACTTTTGATTACACTAAGAAAATGACACTGCTACAACTGGGAGCACCAGCTGATTCCCTGAGCTGACATCAAGCTCTTCACCACCCGACCCAAGCTAACCTTTTCTTACTATATGCCAGGCACTATGCTAAGTGCACTAAACAGAGTAATTTAATTAATCCTCACAACTCTGGTAGGGAGGAACTTTAGTGATTTCCATTTCAGAGATGAGGAAATTGAAGTACAGACAAGAGATATAACTTGCCAAGGCCATGCAGCCAGTAAATGGCAGATGAGGACTGGAACCAGGCAGTCTGGCTTCAGGGTCCATGCTTGTAACCACTGAAGGCACTGTTTCCACTGCTGGTGGGAACACGAGTCAAGGATGAAAACCAAAAATGTAATGAAGGAGTAAACTGAACCAATGCCTATGTAACACCTCAATATAAGTCAAGCAGGGACTATGGCATTACATCTTAACTTGACAATTTGGCTAGTTGACTTAATTAAAAATTTTTTAAATTTTGCAAAATACATTTCATAGAGTAAAATGATTGTGCATCTGTATCTATAAAGTCTAAAATAAACCTGGGACATTTATAGACCCAGAGTAAAGGGGAAGACTTGCTGTTCTTAATCTGGGAAACACTCCGTTTTCAGTTATAAGAAGGAAGGGTGGGACTTGTCTCAGCTACAGGGAAGGGGGCTTTCAAAGTGACTGTCACTTTATTTGGCACCTAAACTCAGAAAAAGGAAGCTTTTGCCTAGGCATTTCATTTGGAACACAAATTTTGTAAAGCATAATTAGTAAGACGAACAGCTTGTTACCTTCTGACATGAAATATGGAATCCGGAATCTTCCTTCTAAAACCCTCTGCCTCAAAATCGGAAGAGTGGGTCCATCAAAAGGCAGAGCTCCACAGACAAGGACGTAAAGAACTACTCCCATGCTCTGGGGAAGAAAACCGTGCAGTCACATTTCCACTGAGAACTCTAAATACTGTTTCCTACACATCCCCAGGGCTGTTGAAATCATATGTTCTGAAAAATCCCTATCTGAACTTATTTTCTCAGAATTTAAAACAAACAAACAAAAAAACAAAAACAAAAAACTGAAACCTCGCCTACTGCAATAAGTATCCTATAATACATACTAAAAGATCTGAATTTTATAATTGTGGTTACTACTTAATTATAAATCATTGCTGATATCAGGGTAGCATCTGTGCCTAGAAATTCTTTCTCAGGGATCCATTTCAAGATACTCTGACTAATTATAGTCTAGCCATTGGGGAACCATGAAATAATGCTTAAGTGTTAAGCATGGAGCTTCTGAGATGGGCCAGAGTACTAAGTATTATCATTATAGATGCATTTAACACAGCAAAGCAAAGCAATACCCAAATATCCAGCTGTGGTCCTTCATACTGCTGCCCTTCAAAGACTTCTGGGGCTGCATAAGGGGGGCTGCCACACCATGTTGCCAGCAGTTCACCACTTTTAAAGAAATTTCCAAAACCGAAATCTATTGGGGATGGAAATAAATGTTACTTTCATCTGTGCTCTCAAACTATACTACATTTCTCTGTAATAAATTTTATGATATGCTATATTAACAACATCACTGCTATTCACTCTGAGGACTGACATCTCTCCTGTAATCTTTCCCTAGCATTTAGCACAATGACTACAAAATAGTAAGTACTCAATAAATACTATGAATGAATTTGTAAGTGAATCTAGTTTTCTTCTTAAAGACAGTGAGGGAGAGACTAGAAAAAAACTTAAAATCACAAATCTTAAGGTTAAAAAAATCCATTGGTGTGGAAAAGTCACTTGAATTTGACAATATTAGAATTCCTATTAGAACCTATGATTGAAATGTTCTTTGTATTATATGGCCTGCAAGGAAAAAAAATCAAATGAATAAACTTCTAAGATATTCACCTAAACACAACCAAGTGACCAGCTGTTCTTACAGCTGTTACTCCAGGACAGCAAGATATTGGATGTTTTAAGGCAACTGAGTACAGTGTTTCCTAAGTAACAACTCTCTAACTGTGAGTCTACACATCCTGTTTTAGGCTGAGAGCCATCTGAACAGCTCATTAACATATGATGGCTACGTGGCCCAGCCATGGGCCGCCTAGCAACACTTTCACTGATTTACTCATTAGAATTCAAAACACTCATTGGACTTCCCCTTACGATCTGAGTTATACTGAATCTACAGCTTTGATATACAGAAGACACTCTGGAAATGCTGTACTTAGATACCTAAAATATGTGCAAAAAACACTGAGTGAGCTCTGGTGAAAATTCTACCTTATGCTCTTTTGCAAAAAACAGTCTCATGTTCTTACCGAAGGGACGAATTCCCATCATTTTGTAAAATACAGCCATACTGTCTTTTGTTGTTACACATTCCTAAAGAACACTCCTTCAGTGACAGGACCTGTTCTACAGCCAGCTGGTGCGCAGCCCCACATGTACAGGGTGTTCTAAGTGATGCCCCAAATGGAATTAGATCGAGTCTACTGCTGGAATGGCTGGCTGGCTTTGTGCCTCCAGATCAGCCTTGGTGAACCTTAGTTTCCCCATCTGGAAAGCTGAAATACACCTAGACAGCTGGTTGTTGAGAGGGTTTAATGTGTTGGTCTGTTCACACCTTCAGACTGTGTATAACATCTCTGGCTCTGTGTTTCTTAGGCAAAGCATGCCCTGAGCTTGCTGACTTAACCACCCACACTACCACTGTTTCAGGAAGAGTAAAACCTATGAAGTTGGGGAGAACTAGAGCTGATTTTCAGTTTTGTCACTTTCTGGCTTCAAATACCCTGGGAAGTTGTTCAATTTTCCTGAACCTTAGTTTCCATGGCTATAAAAGTGGGATAATCCACCCACGCAGATAAGATGCTGTGAGGATTAAATGCATTAAGAATGTAAAATGTGGGGCCAGTGCTGTGGCATAACAGGTTAAGTCACTGCCTGCAGTGCCAACATCCCATCTATGTGTTGGTTTGTGCCACGGTTGCTCTCCTTCCGATCAGGTTCACTGCTAATGCTCCTGGGAAAGCAGTGGAAGTTGGCCCAAGTGCTTGGGCCTCTGTACCCATATGGGAGACCTGGATGAAGCTCCAAGCTCCTGACTTTGGCCTGGCTCAGCCCTGGCTATTGTAGCCATTTGAGGAGTGAACAAATGGATGAAAGATCTGTCTCCTTTCTCTGTAACTCTGCCTTTAAAATAAAATAAATCTTAAAAAAAAAAAAAAAAAGAAAAAGAGAAAAAGGTCCTGAGAAAATATAAAGGAGGGGCAGGAAAAAGTACAGAGGGAGTTTAAGCTTTCTGTGGAGAAAGGAGTGTAGGAATCTCAGACCCAGTCTCAGCCTGGTGGACTACTGCTGAAGTCTGATCTTGACATCCAATGGGCAGGAGCCAAAGGGTGCCTACAAAAACTTCTTTTTCCCAGGTGACCTCAGTTCAGTTCTGTGTTCCACTTTCTAAAATAACTGTCAGAATGGCCTTAGGTTTTCCACCTCTAAGACCAAGCACTCCTATCACATCCTAACACATGCATGCTTTCTCATTTTCTATAGAAACCATAAACAAATGAGTGAAGAACTAGATGTTCAAATGAGGTTTAAAGAGAAAAAAGTTGATTTCACTCACATTGAAAAGTGTAAGAAGTTCTGAGCTGTGTTTTCTGAGGTCTTAAAATAGGTACAGTAATTGCTATACTTTAAACCATAATCATAGGATAAATTTTAGTATATGAAAGTTGAGGAGACTCTCAAACAACACTGTGAAGTTTTAATGTCTCAAAGAGCCCTTGTAGACCTTCTTCATTCTGAACATCCCCACACTGGGGAAATAACTCAAAGGCATGACTGGGACAGAGGCCTGTCAGAAAGGCAGCTGGGGCTCTACACAGCCTTGGGCTGTCTCACTGGTTTTACTAGCCAGAGAGCAAGAACTGGGGAAGCATCACCATTCCTCCAGCAGCCCACTTTCAGCCTTGGCTTTACAGACCTTGACAAAGGAAGCCTCTTGTTCATGTACAGGGACAGTACTGAATAGTTGTTTACTTCTGTTTTCTGTAGGTAATCGAGGAAAATAGGACTGAAGGACAACCAGACTCAGTAAGCATTACAATATCACATATGCAGACGTCTACAGTCTTGTCAAAGTCCTTCACACATTGCGTTTGTGATCATCTGATGAATGGGTTAAGGAAGACATTGACGAGTTGGGATCAGATCCTAGGTTTTCTACTTAGCTATGTAATCCTAAGCAAATTCCTTAAATTTCAACGCCTTAGTTTCCTTATTTGCAAAGTGGGGTAATTAACTACTCTTGTACTGACGTGTGTGTGTGTGTGTGTGTGTGTGTGTGTGTATTCACACAGCAAACCCTGAAACACAGTAGGTGCTCAGTAAATGGTGGCTGTTGTTGCTATTATTATCATTATTGATTTACTTATCTGTCTTCCCCATCAGATTAAGTTCCTTGAGGGTAGAGTAGGCAAATGATAGTATACTCTGTGCTTTTAGTACACTGTCTGCAGACAACAGCTGCTCAACCAAGGTTTGCTGAATGAATATTTTTTCCTCATCTCTTTTGAAAGTGTTTTACTATGCATTATGAGTTGATCTATGCTCATTGAAGAGAATTTCTTCTTAACAACCATATGAAGAAAGTTTGTTTTAGGAGTAAGGGTAGAAAGTCAGTGCCTTGGCAGAAGTGATACAGCTAGCTACTAACTTGCAGAACCGGAACAGAAGCCAAGTTTGACTACAGAGCCCTTACTGTTAACCACCACCTTTATGTCCTCCCCTGGCACAGTGATACACAGCTATTTTTGAACAAGTTAATAATTGTCAAGTTTAAGAAGTGGCAATTGAAAGACACTTAAAAATAAAAGGCTTTTTATTTCTTCACAGGAATCTGGATAATTTTCTTTGGTCATAGTCTGCAACTTTCTGTTTAAAAGCATATAGGGAAATGAGGGGTAAGTCAGAGATAACATGAAAATGCAGGATTTCGTTTTTCAAAAGATTTTATTTATTTGAAAGATTGAGAGAGAGAGAGAGAGAGAGGGAGGGAGGGAGGGAGGGCCCCTCAAATGGCTGTAATGGTTTGGGCTCATCCAGGCCAAAGCCAGAAGTTCAGAAGTCCATTTTGCTCTCCTACATGGGTGGCATGGGCCCAAGTTCTTGGGCCAGCTTTCACTGGTTTCCCAGGCACATTAACAGGGGATTGTAGAAGTGGAGCAGCTGGGACTCCAACTAGTGCTCCAGTATGGGATGCCCATATAGCAAGCAGTGGTTAACCTGCTGTGCACAAGGATTTTTTTTTTTTTATCGTCATTCATTTAAATGGAATGGACTATACAAGGGTACTTCATAAAGCTCATGGAAAATGAAATTAAGTTTACTTTGGTGCAAAATAATCTTGAAATCCACGCATCCTAGAGTCATCTCTGGGAATATGTGGAGGACTGGTTTTTACGACATCCTGCAGATAGCAAAATCTATGTACGCTTATATATACACAAAATGGTACAGTATTTGCTTGGAAGCAAACTATATGCATTCTCTCATATACTTTATATCACCTCTAGATTATTACTTATAATCTCTAATATAATGTAAATGCTATCTAAAAAGCCATTACATTGTAATGTTTAGGAAAAAATGGGAAGAAAAAAGCCTTACAGATTCTGTACAGACACAGCTATTTTAGAACTAACTATACAGTACATGTCAGCAAAAAAGGAATGCATTTTTTTCTAATATTTTTGAGACACAGTTGGTTGAATCCATGGATGTGGATTCATAGATGTAAAAGGGTCAACTAACCAAATTTGTTCATTAAACATTTTAAAGCCATACTGGTGTCAACCAATGTTCAGGCAGTCTCAACAACACAGAATAATAAAACAACCAGCATTATTACTTGAATTTTGGAAAGCACTATAAAGACAATTACTAGAGCATTCCTTCTATGCCAGATTCAGATCCAGTCTAGCCTTGCTGGAAAGGAAACATCTTTCTAGTTTAGTTCTCTGATCTGCAAGTTACTACATAAAACTATGGCTCTTATGTCCTCAGACATTTTTTTTAGTGTTTCTGTCATAAAACAGCATACAATCTTGGGACTATTTTGACATGTTTTTAGCTTTTTAGTTTTCATTTTTGAAAAAGATTTATTTATTTGAAAGGAGAATGACACAGAAAAGAGAGAAGCAGAGAAGAGATCTTCTGTGAGGGTTCGTTCCCCAAATGCCCACAACAGCCAGGGCTGGGCTAGGCCAAAGCTAGGAGTCAGGAAATCCATCTACTTTTCCTACATGGGTAGTAGGAACCCATGTATGAAGTGGAGTGGCCAGAATTTGAACCAGTACCCCAATATGGGAAGCAGGTGACCCAAGTGGTAGCTTAACTTGTTGTGTCACAATGCCTGCACTCTTTACACAACTAGGTATTTGGTACACTGGTTAAGATGCCACTTGGGATGCCTATGTC